CAAGAGGAATGTCAAGCTCGGGGCTGCTGTTACAGCCCTGTTTCACGCAAGCGCCCTACCGTTGCCCAGCCTTGGTGCTTCTTCCCTCCTAGCTATCCTAGCTACAAGATGGTGAACTTGACAACCACTGAAACGGGCTATACTGCCCACTTGACCCGAGACAGGCCCACTTTCATGCCGGATGACATAATGAACTTGCAGCTCGATGTGGTCTTTGAAACGGAGAGTAGGGTTCATTTTATGGTGAGTAAGGGCTGTATGTAGAAAACAAGGGGAGTGAGACACGTGGTCATTATTGCTAGATAATTATTGCTGTAAAGATTGAGTGAGGGCTGCATCGTTTCAGATGTTAGGAGGATTCCAAAATATTTGCAGAGACAGATGTTCCACTTAGTTGTAAAGAGCCTAGCTTATTTCACTTCCACAGGTGAACACTGATTGCTTCTCATGAGAGATACAGGTATTATATCATTCTCAGAGAGCACCAAAAATGTTTTGAATGTGGATGCGGGCCTTAGTGACCTGAGAATCTCAGCATTTTTATTTTTAAAAAGCATGCTTTCAACAGTTACTCATATCTTGGGAGATAAAGAGATGACTTGGTAAACTTTTTGGTATTTGATGACAATAGTAATTATTGCAAATAATAAACAGTACAGAATAAATCATGTAGATATTTCAAGTAAGCATAATGTATATTGCTTATACGATTCGTCTTTTCTACCCACAGAAATTTGCAGTTGGTCCACATACACAAAATTAGTTCCTGTGACCCAGTCATGTCTGTAGACTTGGGAGATAAAGAGATGACTTGGTAAACTTTTTGGTATTTGATGACAATAGTAATTATTGCAAATAATAAACAGTACAGAATAAATCATGTAGATATTTCAAGTAAGCATAATGTATATTGCTTATACGATTCGTCTTTTCTACCCACAGAAATTTGCAGTTGGTCCACATACACAAAATTAGTTCCTGTGACCCAGTCATGTCTGTAGAAGGACCCCAAAACTTGTTCTCCTTTTGCTTGTTCTCCCAGTTAATTGCTCTTCAGTGTTTTCTTCTGTAAATCACGAGACTTTTCTCCATAGGATTCAATTCAAACCTGTAATCCTGTTTCTTTTTATTCTCTCATCACAGCTTAAGGATCCAGCTAACAAGCGCTATGAGGTTCCTTTAGAAACCCCGCAAACAACCAACAAGGCATCTTCAATGCTCTACTCTGTACAGTTCTCAGACGATCCCTTTGGCCTCGTAATCCTTCGGAATTCAAGCAAGCGGGTTCTGTGAGTAGCTCGTGGCTTTCTATACCACAGAGTTTGTCCCTGTGGTGTATTTGCCTCCCAGGGCATCAGCTTAATGAAAACAGAAAAGCTGATTGAGGGTAACATTTGATTGAAAGCCTCCAGGGATGAAGACCATTGCCCCATGAGGCTTGTACTTCTACTTAGTATATCTTAGATGCCAAAAGGCCAGTTCTAAGTATTATGTACCAGCAGTCTACAGTGTGTAGCTCAGCATATGTCTCTGGTGTATAGCTAGTGTGGTAGAGTGGATAGAGTGACAGACTAGGACTCAAGACACCTGGGTTCAAAGCCCTGTTGGGCCTTGGTCACTCACTGGGGAGGAGTAACACTAGTAAAATCACTCCTTAAATATCTCACTTATCTTGAAAACCCTATTAAGATGTGACTTGATGGAACACAGCACAGATAGCATGTATGTCTCCGATAGGCACTGCACACAGTACTGCTTTAACCAGTTTCCAAACATGTCTTTGTATCATTGACATATCAACAGTGTGTACAGTATATATATACACTGTTGGTATGTCAATGATACAAAGGTTTGGAAACCTGGTTTTATACAGTATATAAATAAATAACTGCTTTAACCAGTTTCCAAACATGTCTTGGTATCATTGACATACCAACGTGTGTGTGTGTGTGTGTATTTCCAAACATGCCTTTGTATCATTGACATATATTTGTATATAAAACCAGGTTTCCAAACATGCCTTTGTATCATTGACATACCAACAGTGTGTATATATATATTTACATAAAATAAAGTGCACATTCAACCAAGAACGGGGACCTTGCAGTCCTCCAGATGTTGCTGGACTGCAGCTCCTTTCATTCCTAGCCTGCATGTCCAAAGATGTGGGATGATGGGAGCATAAGTCCAACAGCATTGCAAAGGGCCTGGGTTGCCATTCTTGCCTTAGATATGTAGCAGGAGAAGGTGCCTCTGGTGGCTGGGGCTCTAGCCTGCAATTAGGAACTGCCGAATTCCATTCCAGCCTTTTCTACGTGCAGTGTTTAGAAGCCTGGAATAAGACTCCTTCCGTCTCCTTTTCTGGTGAGAAAGAGCTGGCGGTGCTTGCCAAGGTGCTGCAGTTCATTTTGGTCAGAAGTGTGTGTAGAAATGGGAACTAAACTAAAGTAGACTCCTCTGGATATTAGGCACCTTCTCAGTCAAGGCTTCTGTTTTGGTTTAGTTTTGCTGTTCTTTGGATAGTTAGAGTGCATTCAGACAACCAATAGCTTCTTACAGGTAATTGACCTACAAAAAGCTCACACAGTCGCCAACCATTTAATCAAAATATCTGTTGAAATGTCATGTGGCAGGTTTGGGGGAGTGACAATGTAAGGGATAAAGAATTTTTTTGGATTACTTGCTGGAATTGTCTGCATTTTGACCAACAGGCTCAATACAACAGTGGCCCCTCTGTTTTTCGCGGACCAGTTCCTGCAGATCTCCACCTCAGTACCATCACCTTTCATCTCTGGCCTGGGTGAGCACTTGACCTCACTCATTCTTGATGTCAATTGGACAAAGGTTACCCTGTGGAATCGGGACGTACTGCCTGTGGTGAGTCACAAAGAGTGGCAGTGTGAGGTTTCTCTGGGAGAGTTAAGTTTTCTAAGGGTGCTACAAAATTCTAATGAATTATTTTGCAGTAAATCATATATAGTAATAGCGTATTCGTTGTCTGAATGTCTGACTTGACTGTGATCCAGGATTCTTGGGGATGAAGGAATCTCTGAACCTCTAAAACCAGGCTTTCTTGTACCCATTTAAACTTGGCTTAGTTGTGTATCTTGACTCTGCACATTTTTTTTGTTTTTAGCCTTCTGCCAACTTGTATGGGTCACACCCCTTCTACCTGGCCTTGGAAGAAGGTGGTTTAGCTCATGGAGTTTTTCTGCTAAATAGTAATGCTATGGGTAAGTACTGAAGTAAAGTGCTATGTGCTATGACACTAATGGGAGTTGGAATACAAATTGAATAAACAAATAAAAAATAAATAAAACATATCCTCTGTATATGAAGCAGCTTGCATGTCACTGGATGAAAGCCTTTTACTTAGCATAGTCTTACTATGCCCATTTTAGTCAATGGAACTTACAGAGTAGTTGATTCACGAAATCCCCATTGATTCAGTGGGCCTGTTTTAGTGTGACTTACTCTGCTAAACAGCAGGATTTCAGCTATTGAGTACACTAACAATACAGTATCCCTGGATCATGCACTACAATTTAGCAGCATGGGGGAGTGGAGGCTGGGGAATCATGCTGCCCCCAATACCACATCGCTCAGGGTCTGTGTTCCTGTGGGGGGCAAAATAGAATGAAATGAGTGAGCAATTACTGGCTAATACTTTTGATGTGATTCTACACAAAAGGGATCCTCCCAATTGTAGGTTGCGGTGACATTAACTACCAATGATGTTTGTAGTTGCATGTTGACCATGAAAGTAAAATCTTGGTAGTGAATGTACAGTCTAGCTGGCAAAAGGGCAAAAAGGAGGAACCTGGGAACTACAGACCAGTCAGCCTGACCTCAATCCCAGGGAAAATTCTGGAACAGATTCTTATGCACTCACTATGCAAATACCTAGAAAACAAAACAGAAATAACTAGAAGCCACCATAGATTTCTCAAGTACAAATCCTGCCAGACTAATTTGATCTCATTTTTTTCATTGGATAATCTCCCTGAAGGCATGGTATATCTTGACTTCAGCAAAGCTTTTGACAAAATGCCCCATGATATCCTGATTAGCAAGTTAACCATGTGTGGGATAGATAGAACAGCTGTCAGGTAGATACACAGTTGGTTGCAGAATCATACACAGAGGGTGATGATTAAAGGCTCCTTCTCAAACTGGGAGGAAGTAACAAGTGGGGTACCCCAAGACTCAGTCCTGGGCCCAGTGCTCTTCAACATATTTATTAATGACCTGGATCAGCGGGTACAGGGAATGCTAAACAAATTTGCAGATGACACAAAATTGGGTGGAATAGCTAATGCTCTGGAAGACAGAAACAAAATTCAAAATGATCTGGATAGGCTTGAGCACTGGGCTGAAAACAAGAGCTGGACTCCATGGTCCAAAGGGTGCCTTCCAGCTCTGTAATTCTAAGATTATTATTATTATTATTCATGCAGATGTGATCCTCCAGCCCAGCCCAGCTCTGACATGGAGAACAACTGGAGGAATCCTGGACTTCTTTGTCTTCCTGGGCCCAGATCCAAAGAGTGTGGTGCGCCAATATATGGATGTCATTGGTAGGCACTTTTTGCCTTTTATTATGAAAGAGTAACTCGTGATTTGACGAAAAGCCTGTTTCTCATTGTACTTCATGTAAAGAAAACCACGTGCTGGCCTGTTGTGGGCCTTATGAAGAGGTCTTTTTCTTAAAACAACAGCATAGCACCCAGCGCTGTGGCTGCAAAAAGTCCTGCTTGGCCAATCTTTTCTCCAGATGGGCACTCTGGCTCATTCTGTTAAGTTTCTTTTTTTTCCTGATAGTGCACTAGTGGTCATAGAAGACAGTTACTAAGAGGCTGAAGAAGCAGAAGGGTCCCCACCGAATGAATGTATCACATCAGGCCTTGCTATTCTGAACACTTCCTTGGGGGTCCCTCACTGGATGCTATTTCAGCTCTTGTGTACATTTTTCACTGTGGAACAAGCAAACATTATAACTTTAACTGAGGAACGGTACCCTCCTCCTACCTGAGATGGTCATCCTCTTCCACCGAGGGCCCAACTTCGGGAGGGACACACGTGGAGCTGTGAGGGAGGAAAGGGGCACCCTCCTAGCCAGCCAGATCAGCCGAATCAACCCTGGCGATCCATGGGGGTGACAGATGTCGCAACCAGATCACCCTCACATCTGCAGACATGATTGTCCCCATGGAAGTGTTTAAGTGGCCAGGAAGGCTTAAAATCACTTTCAAGAGAAAGTCTGCATCTTTGAGGGGCTTTAGTGGGTCTTTTCACCCTTTGTTTGGAATGAATATCATCCTGTGGAAAAAATGCTAAGCACGGAGGAAGGCTTCAGGGTCTGAGGAAAAACAAACAATACTGACGTTCTTGCTCATACATTTCCCTTTTGCCCTGGCCTGACCCCAGCTTTGGCAGGACCCTGCACAACATATATGGCCAAGTCCATCCATGTTTCCGTCATGACCAGCTGACCTGGCAGGACTGTCAAGACAGCTAACAGTGATGGCTGTGCAGCTCCAAGCCAAGTACGAGATGACAGTCGTATATATGAGAGGCATGCCAGTTTCTAGCCACTGTTTTAATTTCTTTTATTGCCTGTAACGTAGCTGCTGGTCAATGACTGTAATAAACACTTATTATTATTATAGCTGCTGTGTGCATTGTGGGATATTAACACTGCAGCTACATGCTGTCACAAAATGAGGCTTTCAGTGTCTTGATTTCCAAAGTGGAATCCAGGGAAGGCTCAGCAGAGGGGGCTGGCCTGCCAGGGTGCTGTGGCCCCAGTAGACGCCTGAGGGTGCTACAGCCTCAGTGGGTGCAGTGGCCCAGCCGTTGTCATAAGATGACCCGCTCATGGGTTTCACAAGTTTTCCCACTTGAATGCATTTTGTGCTTTTTCTTTAAAAAAAACAAACCACACAAACCAGCCATGAACCCTGAGGACTGAAATCATTGGCAATCCTGATCTGACATACCATTTTCTGAAAAAGAATTCTACTCAATATATTTGTTAATATTTCTTGTTTTTATTTACTGCAATACAAGAAGCATTAATGAAAATATTGTTCCAGGAGAGATGGGAGTGATAAGTCTCTCTCTCTCTTTCTCTTTGTGTTGACACATTTTTATTAGACCTTAATAAGTTTCAAAATATATTTTTAATGGAACAGTCCAGCTATTTAAAGACAGCATATTTAAAACCGTTTTAATCTTGGTTTTTAATCTCTCTCTCTCTCTCTCTCTCTCTCTCTAATCTATCTATCTATCTCTCTCTCTATATCTCTAT